GGGGGTAAGACTGACCTAATAGACAGAATAGACATACCAGACCCATTAGCAATATTAATAGTAATAGGAAAGGGAGGGGGGATACAGTTTTGAAGTAAGGAAAGGTGAGTCATATTATGAGAAGCACTAGAGTCAAAAAGCCCGACAGAAAAAAATATACCTGAAGAGGACCCAAACAAACCTGAATGAAGAGAGGAGGCAAATGGGAATGGCTGAGAGGTGGACAAGAGGTGCTGAAGCTGAGCAATCTGAGCACTTAAGGAAGCCAAGTCAGGATCTAGAGCCGGAGTAGATGTAATATAAGTGGCAGGAGGGCGAAAGTTATTTTGAGTAGGAGCTCGGGATTGTGATTGAGATTGCTGAGAAGACGCACGACCTTTCTTAGGATAGTTGTACTTCCAGTGGCCCCTCTGATGGTAGAAAACACACTCATCGAAAGTTAGGGGGCCCTTTCTTGGGCTTTGTAGTGGTCGGAAGCTAATGAGATAGTGGGGTCGACAACAAAGAAGGCTGAGTAGGATCCAAGAAAACAGATAGAGACAAAGTCTGACTAAGGGGAGCTCACGAACAATAATATCCACAGAGGGAAGAGGAGACTGGTAAAGGATGCCACCACGGATAACCTCATACTAAGGGGAGAGAGCCGATAAAAACTACACTAAACGACCCTGTTCCCGAAACTCAATATAAGCATCTAAAACTTGAGGCTTGATGGTTCCATAAGAGCCAAATGATCCCAAAGACTTGTCATCTCTATATAGAAGTCCTGAATGGACTGATCCCGTTGATGAGCACCCTGAATGGCTGTTTCCAACTCATACCGCTTGGCAAAGTTGGACTATCAATAAAAACTTTATGAAGAATCCCACACCTCTTTGGTAGTATTGTATTTAGAAAACATCATCCCCATACAGTCATCCATAAAACTATGAAACCATGTCAGAACTTGGTCATTATCACAATCCCAAGCGTCACAAGAAGTCAGATATTCTTCTTTTTTCTGGTTTGATGGACAAGGAACAGATCTAGAAACGTAGCCTCATTTTTTCTAACCAAGAAGAAAATTCTTTGTAACACTGGCTCAATAGGCATAATTGGCACCAGTGAGTTTGCATGAGATGGCTTGAATTTTGGTGTCTGACATTGTAATTAAAACAAAGTTTATAGAAGTTATGAGGCTAAAGTATAATAAAGGAAGAATCTGAAGAGAAAAATATAATAAAGGAAGAATTTGAGGAGCCAAACCAAAATCAACTCCTATTATAGTACAGATTTCCAGACTCAGATGAGAGAGTGAGAAATAGACCTCCGCGAGATGAGAGAGAGAGGGAGCAGACCTTCACGCGAGGCACGAGAGAGGCAGAGACAGACGACTAGAGTCCTCTCGACTCAGATGGGCTGCGACGAGGATCTTCACAACCTAGACGGGTTACGACGATGGGTCACAACTAGCACCCAGATGTGCTCGATGAAACAAACGAGGCAAGAGCCCAAAGAACTAGAGAGGGATGAACTGGGTTCTTTGAAGCAAATGACCTTCGATGTACTAGATGGGTCTCGCGAGCCTAATCGAAGCAAAGGCTTGACTTAATGCTAACTAAAGAGTTCAATCAAGTCCAGAGAATAGAGTCGAACCAAAAGTCAGAACTAGAAAGGATTTCATGATGGCTACTAGGGTTTGAAAACTAGCTCTGATACAATGTAAGTTTTCTGAATGGATCTCTATATTCAATTGTGTAATAATTCAAAGAATACATTTGATTATATAGTAAACCTAACCCTAAGAGTGAAGGAAACACTGTAATATATATACACCTAAAACACTGCCATATATATAAATCAAACCTAAAGGAAACACTGGCATATATATACACCTATACAATCTCTCAAAAAAGGAAACATTACCTAACCTAATATTATCATAATGGCTAGTCAATGGACCATCTTCGTATTCATTGTTCAGTGGCCCACTAGATTGGTCTTTGTTCCTTGCTTTGTTTGAGATGTCTTGGGTCTTCCCTTCTTCTGTCTTGAAGTTGTTATTCTCTTGGAAGGGAGCCAGAGTTGAAAGCAGTTGAAAGAGGTCTTGGTGTTTGGGCCTCTTGTCATTAATGTGAACCATTTAGTGCAATAGAACTTTTGATGGAGTTGTGACTCTTATTTTTGTTTTAAAAAGCATATTTTTTGTTATTTCTTATAGTTTGTTCTCGGGTGGGTTGACCCATCCTTGGGACCAATTTTGGGCTTTTATTGAGCTTTTACAGCAGTTTAATGTATAGTTTTGACCTTTATTTTGTACATGGGTGGCACGCCCTTGGTGCTTCTTTTTTTGAATATATATCACATAAAATAAAAAAATAAAAAAAGAAGAATTTCCATGAAGATCTATAATTTCTCCAATTCACCACATGCGAATTTCCATACTTCTAACGATAGCATCCCCACTCTGTTTCTATTAATTTGGCTGTGCAGTGTGGCATAAATTATGCAATCCTCTTGAAATTTGGTGTTAAGAATTTTTCATTTTTTATTTTTTATTATCTTGGTTCATAAGCTCTTTATTCTTAGAAGAGGTTTTGTTGGATATGACGTTGACAATGATGTTATCTAGAAGAGGAGAAAATTACAATACTATTCATCCAACGTCTGTTACAAAATGTGTTTAATACAAAATAAATAGAAAACAACCCTAACTATTAAGAGAGAACAAAATACAAAAATTCCCTTAACTCAAATAGAAAACATAGAAAAAAAAACCAACAACAAAAAAATACATCCAAAAATACCTCTTCATAAATGCGCCAGTCTTTGTTTGCAATCAGTGCATCGAGATCCATTGTAGATAGTTACTTGGGGTTGGTAAATCCATAAAAAGGTATATTAAGGAAGTAGTGCAAGAGCAGTTCATTGTGTTTGGAAAGAAGCAATCTATTTTTTCTTGCCTTCTGTGGTTTGTTTTCTTGATTTGATTGAAAATGGTTGGAATTTGGGAAACTACTTTCCACTGTGTCGCGGATTTCCCTCTCGAGGCCAATTCCGTGACGGTTTGCATGTCCTGTGTGGCCTTTGGAAGTGTCTTTGAGAATGGCATTGAGATTCCAAGTCATTGATTCGACACCCCAACTTGGCCCGAAGGTTGGCCCCAATCTGCCCAATGCATGCATGGCAACAGCAGCCAGCAGCAGCCCACACCCGCCCTCGCGCCCACACCAGCATCAGCAGCCTATTGGGGCAGATTTTGACAGTGAGTTTGAGGCACCAAACGACTGAGTTAAAGGCCAAATGTTTTCTTGGGATGAGCCCTAGGGTGGAGAGTTTCTGCATCCAAGTTTGGTGATTTTTCTCAATTTGTGGAATTTTTGAAAAATTATTATGACTCCTCAAACATAAAGCATGTTTCCTTTTGCCAAGTTGAAGAAGGCTCAAAGTGCTATATTAAGGGTGGAGTGGAGAGCCACATGCCAGCCTCCTTGGGCCAAAATCTGTAGTGGGCATCCCCAAGGGAGATTGGGGGTGGACTTTGGGCACCAAAAAGAGGTGTTCAAGGTCTCCATGTGGGATAGGGAGCCCCATGGACAGTGCCATCAAGGGGCATGAGTGCCAGCACCTCGTGGTCTTCTCGACATGAGGTTTATGGACATGCATCCCTGATGTCCCACGTCTTCTTGGGGGTGTCCTTACACCGATTGAACTATCGAGGCGGCACCTCGAGCCTCATGTGCCAACTCACGAGCTAGGTTTGGGTTCGGCCTTGCACATGTGGTACTTGTGGCTTAAGGCATGAGGCAAAGAGGCAATGCTGCACATGTGGGCTATCAAATGAAGGCCCACATGTGCTTGCTGACCAAGACATTGCCTTATTCGGACAACACATTAGTGCAACGATAAGGACACGCAAGGGCCTTAGGCGGAATCTAGCACATGTGCATGCATGACGACTATTTTTTTTTTTTCAAATTCTTATCTCTTTGATAAATATATGTTAGTCCTAGAGTTCTTGAGTCTAGGTAATTTGTTTGGCAATTCCGTTTGGACAAACTCTTTTTGGATGCAATCCTTTAATTTTGTTAAGTTATAATTGTTCTAGTCTATAGGTTCTGTTTTGCTTCTTATTTAAGGCAACTCCACTTGTTTTGGACCTAAGGTTGAGTGCATTGGGGTGATCAAGACTTTGCCACGTGGTAGAGTTAATGAGGTCACTTCTTGAGCCATGAAGTGTGCGCTCAAGCAGTCAAGGTCAGGTTGGACACTTTTGTCATGCAATCTGATCCAGATTTAGCTGACTGACTGACTGACTGGGGTTTCTCTCTCCAAGGATGAAAACAATCTCAAAGCTCATGGAGAAAGAAATTGACAGATCTATGAATCTATGGTGATGGAGTGAGTTCTTCAAGGTCAATTACACTTCAAACCTTTCATACTTTTCTCTTGTAAGTCTTTTGGTGGTTCTCAAAGGTGATTCGGGAGATTGTTAGTGGATTCTGACAAGGTGAATCAAGGCAAGGGAACCTGGAGTGATGAACGTGGACTCGGCAAGATGGTCTTTGATCCGTGGGATGTTGATTCATTTAAGGGATTGTAAGCTAACTTCTGTAATCACTCAACTTTTGTGCCTGTGGATTTTTCCTGAATTGAATCTTCAATTAAGGTTTTCCACGTTAAAATTGTTTGTCTCTTGTCAATTTAATCGTTTACATTTTATTGTAATTTTAATGATGGATTTGATAATTATCTCTAGATCTAGGCTAATTGTCCTTATTTGGATCTACATTGTTCTGATTAGTTTAAGTTTCTTGAGTGGTTGTGTTGAACTCCTGAAAAGTCTGTATTTGCATTGGGATTTTCAATATTCGTTCTCAAAATTGACTAACTGCTTCCTAAACTGTTCTTTGGATTGTTGGCTTGTTTGTCATGGGTTTGATCTATAATCTTTTTTTCAATATTTGCAAAAAGTATGTCGCCAAATGTTTGAAATTATCTGATATTATTTTCCTTGACAGAGCTGATGTTTTGCGAGAAAACACAGAAGCTGTGTTTGCAGCTTGTGACGCTGCTCATGGAAGATGGGCAAAGCTTCTTGGGGTCCGTGCTCTTCTTCATCCTAGGTTGAGATTGCAGGAGTTCTTAGGCATATATAATATCACCCAGGAGTTCATAACTGCTACTGAGAAGGTATTATTATTATTATTATTTTTATAATTTTAGGATAGTATCTTTTCTCTTAATTTTTCCACTGTGAAGGTGACTTTCAATTTGTTTGTGGTTATGATGCCAAATTACTGACATAAACAGATTGGTGGAAGGTTGGGATATAGCATTCGAGGAATGCTACAGTCACAGGCCAAGGCTTTTGTTGATTTCCAGCATGAATCTAAGGTTAGCTTTTGTTCCTGTGTATTCACTAGTTTTTAGTGGCATGTTACACCTCGTTACGGGACTTGCTATTTCACTGCTTGTTATAGATGGCAAAAATCAAGGCGGTACTTGACCAAGAAACTTGGGTTGAAGTGGATGTTCCTGATGAATTTCAGGCCATCGTCACTTCTCTGTTTTGTTCTGAGCCTTTAACTGCTGAGCACACAGATGATGGTCAAGGTAATGTTGCAAACAGGTTACATTGAAATGGCCTTAAGCAATGATGGTTCACTCATGGCAGACAGACTGAACCATCAAATTCTCAGCACCTTATTGCCCAAACTAAATCTATTGAATCATCTACAGATAACACTGCACGGGTGAATTCTTTGCCCGTGATTGAGCCAACTGAGAACAATAAATCTGATGTTTTAACTTCTCTGGGTCAGAGCAACAGCACTAACAATAAGCAACGTGGAAAATCTTCCTCTCAAACACTTTTATTCAGAGGTGTTGGTTATCACATGGTAAACTGGTTAGTTTTCTTGTTTTACCATTATCTTGTTCTTTTCTTGTTTTTGTCATCTGTCCTTCGATCTTCCTTCTTCCTATAGAATCTCAGATTCCCATTGCAGTTGGTATGTTTTCCTCTCATAATAATTGTTTTTTATGCATCTTTCTGAGGATTAGCTGATACCATATTCAGAGCTATTTAATTTTCAATACGGTCTTCATATTCGATAATTGATTAATCTCCAATTGTGACTGATATGTCTTTTTTAATTTCTCATCCAATATTTATCTCCATGAATCCAGCTTCAATGAGCATTAAAGAAATTTACTGAGTGAACTAACTTTACGGCGTTTCTTGCTTATCAGCGGCTTAATTTTGCTGAAGATGTTGTCGGAGTACATAGATATGAGTAATTATTTGCCAGTGCTGTCTTCGGAAGTTGTTCATCGTGTAGTTGAAATCTTGAAGTTTTTCAATACAAGAACTTGTCAGCTTGTTCTTGGTGCTGGTGCCATGCAGGTATTTGTTTTTGGCATATATTTTGATTTTTTTGGACAAAAATTTGCTAAAAAAATGTCACTGATGGAATGCTACCACACACAAAAGAGAAGGAAAAAGGAAAGGAAAAAAAAAAAAAAAACTATACACCTCCACATCCAAACTACTTCTGACTCCCAAATCTCAACTATACAAATAGCTTATAAATGAATTTGCCCAATACATTGGAACCTCTATACCATCGAAAGGCATACAATTCCGCCCATCCATATAATCCACATTAGGCACAAGGAAATCAACATCCACAACTAGTTCCTATGCTTCCTCACTTGAACCCTACCAACTGTGAAGGAGCTCAACTAGTCCATGAGGAAATACACACCCCACCCTAAACTAATATTACATTGAACTCCAAAGCTTCTCTCATCGCATGGCAATGGGCAAGCAAATGATTTACCGATTCCTCATTCTATTTGCACATATAACACCAATTCAACTGTAATTAATGGATATGTGCTTCTCAGACTGTTGGTTGGTTGTTAAAACAACGAGATACTAATCTCTAACTGATAAATGATGTCCTCTTATGTTATCGTTTTTTAGTATGTGCTCGTATTTATGATGTTGATGTCTGTCCATGGTTATGTAAAATCTTAGCTTCACCATGAAATAAATTTTGGCCAGGTTGAACTTCTATTCTTAAAGCTTATGTTCTGACAATAATCAGCATAGTATGTAGACCATTTTGGTACTTGCAGTCCACCTTTAAATAATTTGGGGAAATAACGCTTCAGTTGTAACTTCAAAATTATTTACAAAATAATGAAAAAGTTTATGATTTCAATTATTAATATTTATAATGTTTTTCACTTTTTTGTAAATCTTTTCCACTGACACACTGTCAGTGTAATTCCCCCAAATAATTTCAAGAAGAATCACTTAGAGACCCCTGTTTTCAAGGAAATTGTTTGAACCTTATTACTTTCATTATGTGGTTCTCTGTTGTTCTCCCACACTTAGAAACTTAAGGTCTTTGGTCGGACAGATGGGGTATTGGAAGGGAAGATGAAAATGATCTAAAATTTAATCCTTGGGCAATGGAAATTGCCTCCCTTCTTTTTGCAAGAATGATCGGAATGTATGGTGTAAGGGGTGTCGATACTATTGGTATGCCCTTGTATATTAAGGAAGTGTTGTTGTTTGAAAAGAAAGAAAGAAAAAAAGAAAAAAAAAAGAAAAAAAAAAAAAGAGGAAAGGTCTTCTCTCCTCCATTGCCTTCTTTTTGCCCACTTTTGTGGGATAGATAAAATAGAAGGCACCTGGTGGACCAAGCAAGAGGGGAATTCCTTCATTTCTCTCTTCCTTTCTGTCTTTCTGTTCCTATGAAATGATAAAAAAATCTATCCATCCTTCCTCTTTCTATTGACTCTTTTGTGAACTCCCATTCTTGTACCAATTATCCATCACAGAAATATTGACATATATGTGTCTTCCATCCCAAAATAATAGTCGAACAGGAAAAATTCAAGTAGTAGTTTTTACTCAGTTTCCTACTATGCACTTACAAAAACAATTATTGTTTGACCACATATTTTGACAACCCTCAACCCACATCATACATTGTTGATGTTTATGATCGGTCAGTAGCAATTGCTACCTGAGGCCTTGCTAAACTGAAGTATTGTGCACCCGATATGTATTCATTTTTCATAATAATATATCAAAAGTGTATAATAAACATGGGATAATTGATGTACATCAAGGATCAAAATTTCGTTTCGGTATGTTGTTTTGGTTAGCTTGGAAATGGAAACTTTTGGAAACATTGTGGATATATTTCAGAAACATGAGGAAATGAGAAGAAAAAAAAATTGAAAACATTTGAAAAATGCCTAGAAAGAAAAACTAAAACCCATATAAATGTTAATACATTTTCAATAATTAAATAGTTGAATATTTTGAGGCCTATGAATATTAAAAGTTCATGAACAAAAGGGTTAAAGGCTTTATATTGGGAATAGGTTTGCAAAATTCTAGTACTATTAAGGATGGAAAAACAAAAATAGAAAAAGTACTTTGCGGTAACAAAGGAAGAGAACAAGTGACTTAATTATGCTTTTTGTATGTTCTCCTTTCTATCTGTCCCCTTCTCCTTTCTACTTTCTTAGATTCTCTACTATATTTAATTTTTTTTGTTTATTCTCAAATAAATTCTTTTGACAGAAAGTGGCAAATAGAAATAAATTCTCAACTCCTTGTTTCAGTATGTTTTGTGGTGTTTCAGTGAGTTTCGGTGTTTCACTATTTTTTTTTTTTTTTTGTTACTTGATGTACATATCATAATCCATTCATCAGAGCAAGTGCCCAAGTCCCAATCTTCATTTCATTACCCAAAAGGCTTGATAGAACAAGTCATTACAACCTGGCCATTCCCGCAGGCCACATCCACATACACGCCGTTGTCTCATAGAGATAATACGTTGTACCTCATAATTAAACATAGCACAACTTCATTCAGATCACCATATTACACAAATGCACACAAATTCTAGAATCCAAATCTCAAGTTTCATCCTCTGAAATATGTAAATGAATGGGATGAGCTTTACTAAATCGGTGAATAATAAGAATACTGGAGCATACATTACACCATGGATACATACATTGTAATCAAACATAATATGATCAATGAATAATCAAAGATAACATGATCTCCTTTGAAAATCTTCATAATCATTATATAGTCACTCATCACAAGGTAGCTTTCAAACACTTTTCTATACATGTAAAATGCATTGTAAAATGCATTTAGAATATAGCAATTGATACAGAACATAAGCATAGCATTGTACATATATAGAGCATTTGATACCGAAATCCCCTTTTGGTCCATCCACTTTCTATTGTGACAGTTAATCTCTTACACTTTAGGTCAAGAGTTATTTACATGGAGACCCCCTAAACTATTGAAAAGTATTACTTTGACCCCTTGAACTATAAAAACGTACAAATGGACCACTTAAACTCTTGAGAAGTATCGCTTTGCCTTCTAAATTATAAAAGCATACGAATGGACCCTATGAAGCACGGGTACTGGTACGATACAGGTACGTCGATACAGTAAAATCCAAAAACAGTAGGGTACGAGTATAGCATGGTACACTTTGTAAAAACATATTTATTTTTAATTTAGAGTAATGCAAAAATTAATTAAATGGTTTAATTTGTCAAGATCCGACCTATAATTAACATTTAATGCCAAAAGTAAAGGTATAAATCAAAATTAAATGTCAATATATTAGATAACTTACAAACCATAGTTTAATTTTAAAATCATGCTAAGTATAAAACTAAAAATAAAAAAGAAGTCTAATGAAAGGAGTTTTGAGGAAAATATTGTTTCAACTGAGGTATGGTATGGTTTGGGTATATACGAGGTACATTGGGGTACGCTAAAAATTAAGAAGAAAAAATTTAGGCACGTGTTTCATGTACCTCATACGTATACAAAAGTACCATGCAAAGTACCATACGCCGGTAAATACCAGGTACGGGTAAGGCATATTGTTCGAAGTACCCATGTTTCATAAAATGGACCCCTAAATTATAAAAACATAGCAATTTGACCCTCTAATGGAAGAGGTCAAAGTGAAACACGTCAATAGTTTAGAGGGTCTATTTGTATGCTTGTATAGTTTAGGGAGCAAAGTGATACTTCACAATAGTTTAGAAGGTCAATTTGTATGCTTTTATAGTTCAAGGGGTCCAAGTGATACTTTTCAATAGTTTAGAGTGTCTCCATGTAAACAACCCTTAGGTCAACTAGCAATGTCATTCTCTGTTCATCTACCGTTAATGAGGTTGAAGGGAATTGGTATGCATTGTTGGACCCCTTTCCTTGTAGCTTAAGATTTTGGGACTTGTGATCTTTCTCTATATTTTTGGATGTTTGCATCTCTACATGCAAGATGGGATTGTGCGTGATGGAGTGTGTAAGAAGGGTTAACTTGAGCCCACTAAATTAATTGGGCCTAATCAAAGCCCAATCGGAAAGTCCAAAAATTGGTGAGCTTGGAGAAATTATTGTCAAATAGGCTAAGTGAATTCTATTAAACAGGCCCATAAGAAAGTCAACAAATTAGGCCGAGGAGGATACATTTTTAGGCATATATGTCTAAAAGAAGGTCGAGATCATACGGGTGTCCGAGGAGGTTAACTTTTGCTTCGGAAGGGATGAAACCCTCAGAGGAGATCCATTCTCCGAGGTATTTGCGTAGTCTTGAAAGGGTTCGGAATCACGAACCTAGAGATTTATTTGAGCTCGGACTCGAAAGGGTTCGGAACCACGAACCCAGAGACTTATTTGAGCTCGGACTCGAAAGGGTTCGGATCTACGAACTTATAAATCCGAAGCGTTTGGCTTCGAACGGATTTGGACACAATCTAAAAGCAACTCCATTAATGAGTCCCAGAACACTTGCGGGCTCAGAGCTTTGCGGCATCTATGCACCAAAGCCATGGGCATAATAGAGTTCAAACAAAGGACCCAATCTCGAGGACGGTGAGCGGAGATAAATTCACTCTTAGGTTAAACTAGTCTATACCTAGGTCAAGGTAGCACAATCTAGGGGGGTGCTTGAGACTCAACAATATTTGCGGTAGGGCGTTCTCTTGAATTACCCCTGACCCTTACGGCAGGACGTCCTCTAGGACTACCCTTGACCCCTTGGGATGATTGGAGATCATTGGTTGGGTGTGGCTAAGAAAAAGGATTTGCCGAGAGGTTGATCTCCTCTTCGAGGTTTTCCTCATCCTCAGAGAGGTCACATTCTCGGACAAGGTGATTAGAGGTAATATTTCCCATGTGCCTTGCACATGGGCTCCATCCTATATCATGAGATGTCTATAAATAGCACTCACTCATAGCTTTACAAGGGAGGGATTTTGGATAGACAATTCTTGGGAGAAAATTAATTTCCCTTCTCCATCATCTATCTTGAGAGTGAAAAGTGGGAGAGCCTTGCCATTATTCTCTCTCTAACTACTTTGCATTTTTTTCCACCCAATCTCTTATTTCCATCATCTCTTTGCTATTGTGTTTCTAGTTGCGACCGTTAAAGAATTTAAGCCTCTCACCATTTCTAGAGAATTCGAGTTTTCTGGCGACCTTTGAAGATCTTTGAATTTTCTGGCGAGCCTTTGAATTTTTCGGCAGCATTCTGGAACCCACTGATACAAAGTGTATTAGAGAGGTTGATATATATATATATATATATATTCTTAGCCCTTTCCTAACAACTTAAACTTTTGGAAATAGTGATGATCTAAAAAAAATTTACTTATAAAATCCCAAAGTTGGCCTGGTGGCAAGGCCTTGGGTCTTGGGGGTGTGCTCCTTCTAATGTTCAAGGATCAAAACCTCTTAGGTGCTAACAATTTCTTGGGACTATTGGATTGGGGAAAACCCTTTGAATTAACTATGGTGCACTTGCGAGAAATGCCTTACTATGGGCCTATGCACCCCTAGGGATTAGTCGGGCTTTAATTCGAACGCTCCGGTGCCAATCCAAAAAAAATATTTGACCATTTCGAGTTGTAGTCATGGTTCTAAATCTCGGTATCGGGCCTATCGAGTGATACGTATAGAGAATCAAGTGTTAATCGTGAATTTTGTTTAAATCATCAGCAACCCCTCAATATACTCATTTTTACCTTTTTAAATATAATTTTTTACAGTTAAATCAATATTTTGCTATATAGAAGCATTATTTTACTACAAACTAGACGAATTTTTAATTTATTTGTAATGATTTCAACTTTTTTATTGTTGCATTTATAAGTTTTAACCTATCAGATACCGATACTCCTTGGATACTTACAGATACATATCAAATACTTAATTAAAAGTATCAGATGCTGCTTAATTAATTTTTCATTAATTTTGAAGTATCGGATACTTAGTTTTGAAGTATCGGATGCTCCAAGTCACATATTATCGGATATTTCTTAATTAATTTTGAAGTATCAAATGCTCCAAGTCACGTATTACTCCTTTTACGAAATTAGAATTGTATCATTTCTTGCATAACATCATAATATAATATAATTATAAGGATAAATAGAATATTTTTACAATACTTTGCTTAGTTTTTTTTATAAAAATAACATAGTAAGCTAAAGTAATAGAATTCATCAAATTGACATATCTTCATTGTATCATGCATATCCCCTATAACTACATAGAAATAAGGATTAATAAGATAATATAACAATAGTAAAATTAAATATCAATAAATAAATAAGCAAATAAACTTGCATATAATATTTTTGACAAGTGCAAAAAGAAAAAATATAGAGTGAAGTTGTGAATTGTTTTGATATTATAATATCAACATATTAACTTGATATTGAAATGAAATATTTGCAAGACCTATTGAAAATTTAAAAACTAAACTAGCTACTGGCTTAAATTAATATCTAATTCTTAAAGATTAGTATTTTGCATTATAAAGTTACTGTGATTTCTCAACATTCTTGAGCTTATGTGTAACTTAATACTAATAATTTTTTTATTTTTTTATTTTTTACAAACGTATCCTGGCCGTACCGTATCTTACGTTTTTAGGTTTTATCGTATCGTCGTATCCGTATCGTATCATATCCGTATCTTGTATCCGTATCCATATCTGTGCTTTCTAGGTTTTAACAAATAATTTTTAGATTATAGTCAGTTTTTAAAGGTGAATGCGTAACTGAGGCGTTTTACCCCTCATGAGGCGTAAGCATTTATAAATTAAATATTTTAAAATAGTGAAAAACAAATAAAAATTAAATACAGAGGTATAAATACTTTTCTGCTTAAGGCATCGAACATTTCACTGCAGAGAATGAAGCTTGCCTTCATTGAAAGTGAAATTGGCATTCTTAGCTTTAGTGATTGAGCTTCTCTATTGGGCATTAACTTTGTATTTTTTGTTTATTGTTCATTTACTTAAAATTTTTTCTATAGAATATAGTCACAAAAGAGGTTCTTTTTTATTTTTTTCCTTTTGATGTTTAAACTATCTACTAGACTAAGTTTAACAAATGTCTGAGGCAACCTCTTCATATGCATACTCGTCATAGGCTCATGTGCAAAAGGCATACAAGGTGCACCTAAGGTGCATGCCTCAGATTGTGATGCGCAAGCCTTTAGGGAGAGTAGCCTAAAAATCAAAGCCTTGATGCATTTTACCTTAGCCTTGAGGTGAGGCGAGCCTCATTAAAACCTACGAAAACTTATTTTAATCAGATAAAAGATTCACATGAAATAAACCTTTTTGCAAATTATATTATTGAACACCAAGCCCACATTTAAAAAGCACTAGCAAATTCTTCAAATTTGAGAATGTATAAAAGAAGCTTCAAGTGCGTTTTTTCTTCATTTATGTTGCTGTCCCAAATCAAATTCACAAGGAAAGTATCACTGAGTGTATTGCTTTGCTTATAAAGGTGCCAGCCTATCAGTTCATCTATGGCTTTACGGTTCGCTTTTGACCATGTAGCCATGCCTTTGTGTGCCACATGCTTCCATGAATGAAGCAAATTGTTGGCTGTTAAAGGATATATTTGGAGTACAAATATTTTATTATTAAGAAAAGCGGTTCGAACCGGACTGATATTGTCTGAGTATTGCTGTTATAACTGGTTTTTCCTGATACGTAACGGAAACCACCGGTTCACCTTTGAAATCTGTTCACACTGTTATATCGGTATGTAACCAAATCGGTGTCTAATTTCCGGTACGAACCGTCCGGTACGCTACGTACTGGCCGATTTTTAGAACCTTGGTTGGAGCAGAGTTAGGGTTGAATAGGTGTTTTTTTCTTCTTCCTTTTTTGGGAATGGTGATGCGCCACACAACAGGGGATAGTCTTCCCCATTTGTAACCCCCTACAATTGGTTAATGGCAGGATTTGATCCCAGGAATTCGTAGGGCTACCAATAGACTTTGCATGTTAAGCTAATTGGCACCTTCATTATCAAATGCATTGGAACATATTAAGCAGCGAAAAATATCAAATTCTGATGAATTAAGGTGATTGAATTTTGTAAAAGTTGTAGAGTTTCAATTCCCGTCGGACTTTAAAATCACATTGTCTTTGAACACCATTGACATTTCGGTATCTTGGATTCAAACTGTTTTGTTGTGACACCATCTAAAAAGAACACCAGTTAAGTATTTTTGTTAGATTCATATCTGACTTCTTCTTGTAAAAAAATGGTTTCCATAATTTATTCCTATTTTTTATCTGCATTCAGTTGGATTTCCTAAATGCTTTCTTTATGAGTGAGTTTTCATAAGTTTTCCATAATTTGTTTTCTGCATGGAGCAGGTGTCTGGTCTGAAATCTATTACATCTAAACACTTGGCGTTGGCAAGTCAGGTTGTCAGTTTTACATATGCTATTATTCCTGGTAGGTGATGACACATTAAAATGTTGCTATTCCCTTAAAGTTGTTTCATGTAGTCTTGTGTGCCGTCATAACATGTGGATGCATATTTGTGTATATGCGTGCATTTTTGCCACAATGCTATGTTGTTGAACATCAACTTGCACTGGAAATCAAGAATATGAGTTGGCATATAGAACAAAAACTACCATTTTGGATGTTCTCTTTATCATACAGCTCTTGGATGTCATCAAGATTCAATTAGTTGGCGAGTGAAATCTGAACTCTATAGACCTTACATTTAATTTGTGGAGCGACTTTTCTATAAAAGAAGATTGAAGTTATCCCCACTTTCCTCAATTTGAACCTTTCCAAGTTGTATTGTTATATGTATTAGCTATGTTCAAGTAATTTGTGGAAACATGTAACACAGCCTGTGTGATGGATTGAGTTTAGGGTTAGTTTAGCTTGTCTCAATTCATATTTTCATCTTTCTAGTATTTTCATGTACTTGGGCCCCAATCATTTATTTATTTTAAGTTGTTTATATATTTGATGAATTTTAGAATTACATTAAGCTCAGTTCTCAAATTCTATTGCAGTTTTCTCACTTTATTCGTTTCATGGTTAGCAAGGGGTATAATATTAGTTTCTAAAACGATACCTTCATTTCCTCTTTTGTTCCCTCATTTATATCATGCATCTTGTTTTCATAATTCTACAATTGCTTACATGATTTCCTCTTATTTTGATCCAATCAATTAAAATTTTAATTTCTTAAGAAATCTTAATGATTTTGAGGTTATTGAACTTGTTTCTTTGTAATATGTTCTTGAGTGTTTTTCTTTGAATAACACTACTGGTGATAATAGGTTTTGGACTCTGCATTCATTCGAAACTTTCTCTGGTAAATCCTTTTTTTAATAAGATTTGTGATGATCCAAATGTACTAGTCCTTTTGACCCTCATAGAATGCTTTGGAGTGCAAATGTCTCTTACAGTTTTGTTTTGTTCTTCTTATTATTTATTTATTTGTTTATTTATTATTTTTTAATGGTGCCTTTTAAATGAAGGTTTTTGCGTGGTCTTTGGCTCATGGGAAACTTAATACCATTGATATGATTTAGATGAGAAGACCAAATTTCTATTTACATCCACAATGGTGTTATGTGTAGAAGGGATTAGGAAAAAAGGATGATAGGGTGGGTCAGTTTTTTGCCATCATTAAAGAAACGGATTAGGACAATATTATTGATTATCTATTTTTTCATTGGCCTTATGGTGGAGAGTGCTTGATGTGCCAAGGTGGTTTTTACCCTCTTCTTCTGTTCAAATGCGTTTGTGTTGATTTTAGGGGGTTTGCTTTTAATTCACAAGCCCATGTTATTTGTAAATATGTAGGGTGTGTTTGGTTTGTGTTTTGAGATAAATTTTCTAAAAAAAAAATTGGGGAGAGTTCAGAAATTTTTTTGGTTTGTTTGGTTGTATATTTTGAAAATAGTTTTGGAGTTTAGGAGTTTGGGATGATTTGATATTTTGTTATAGTTGAGTAGATATGTGTAAGAGAAAGAATGATTGATTGATGTGTATGAAGAGAGAGTGAATTTGGAAAAAAATTTCAAAAAATTTGAACCAAACAAAATTTTGAAAATTTTTCTCAAAAATTGTATCTTGAGATACAAACCAAACAAGTCCGTAGTTTCTCTCTCTATTGTGCCACATATTAATTGTAATTTGTAAGAAATAAAATCGTAAGATTCCTTTTACCCAATAAGAAATCATGTGATTCTTGCTGCAAGACATTAAACAAATTACCTCACTCCTATAGCTATTTTCTTCGTCTTCTGTTATATGCACTTTTACTCTCTTCTTCATCCCAACGCTTTTGTTATAGATAATAGCAAGCATCAAGTGTCGGTCTTCAGCTTTAGTTTCAAAGGAGATTTTGTAAAATCAAATGTTTCTTCCTAATGATGAACTAATGAACGCCCGTGAGATTGCTTGCTAAAAGGCTATGTTATGATCTCAAGGCAGGTACAAGTATCGGGTGCAAGTGCATGCCTAAGTGTCAAACCTTTATATACCCAAGTCTTAAGATAATGGAATATGTATCCAAAAGCTGGATATAAGTGTGCGGACGAGCCATGGACACATATATATTGCATAATGTTTAATATTCTTAGATATGATGTTGTAAATTATGTAGAAATGTCCTTAAATTGATTATGATTTAAGAAAAATATGGAATTTCTATCTCTCATCCATTTGAGAGGCTAGAAATGTTTATTTAATAGCATATATGAGTTTTTTAAGGGGGTTGGAGAGGAGGCTTTTTTTTTTTTTGGGAGGGTGGGGGTGGGAGGGTGGGGGGGTGTTTACGAAAGGTGTTTTTTCGGTTTTGTCATACTATCGGATTTTGTGTGGCGAGGTGGAGGGGAAGTTCCCTTGGCGGTGTGTTTGGGTCACAGGCGTTCCGTCGAATGTGGTTTTCTTCAGGGACGATAGCTCTTGATAGGATTCTCACTATTGATAATTTGGTTCGACGTTATCACATTCTGGTACATTGGTGTTGCATGTGTTGTGGTAATGCGAAGTCAGTGGATCATTTGCCTATTTACTGTCTGGTGGCTTCTTGGTTGTGGGCACTTATTTTTTCTACTTTTGAAGTGGTGTGGGTTCAGGAAAAAGGGGTGTTGGAGGTCCTATGTACTTGGGGTGGGGGTGGGGGTTCGGTGGGAAAGTGACAATTGAAGGCTTGGGCTTTGGCTCCATTGTGCTTAATGCGGTTGGTTTGATTGGAACAGAATCATCGTACTTTTCAGGGGGTTGCTCAATTGGTGCCATGGTTAAAGAATAGGTTTTTCTAAGTTTTGTATAGTTGGGTGTCAGGAAGGGTGGATCCAAATGTGTTTGCTTTTCTGGATTTTGTAGATGACTTAATTGGTTAGGTGTTTTCCCCTTTGTTGTGGGGGTTCTATTTTTGTATTCTTAAGCATCGTCTTGATGCTTTCAGCAATAATTTTATTTATCAAAAAAACATGAGTTTCTTTTTCTTCAAACATCGTAAAAAATTAGAGGATCCAAGTGTTTAAATTGGGTAGGGGTATTGGACACATATCCTACACCATTACCCTAGTTATATCCAGTGGACACGGGGTACTTTGCTAGAAACAAAAGATTCCATGTGACACAGCCTAAAGGTGCTTAGGATAACCATTCATTAAAGTCAAAAATCAAAAGAAAATTTACAATGCTCTCTTTTGAGTGTCTCTCTCTCTCTCCATTGTGATTATTAGTGTCTTGTATTACTTGTTGGCAATATAATCTTATCAAATCATGGGATCTCCATATATTATGATATTTTCCGTTTCTTCTGATATCTTTGACAATATAATCTTATCTCCAACATTATTTTCTTATAACCATCTTCTACTGTCTCCTAGCTTTTATTCTTGGATGTTATTATTTCTAAAATGCAACATATAGTGGTCGCTGAAACTATGCTCTGCATTCATATGATTTAATAATTAGCTAAATTTTAGTGTTATGATATTATGTTTTTTGCATGTGGGACTAAGAAATCAGGAGGATTCTGCTCAGTAAAGTACCTGATACACGAAAGGCATTACTACTGTCAGAGATTGATCGTGTAGCGCAGGTAAATTAATTTTCTATTAATCAGTTATCTGTTCCTGCTTGACTAAAATTTTGTATCATCATTAACTATACGTGAACTGAGCTGTTGATAAACAGCTCGGGCTTGGCTTGGCTTGGCTTGGCTTGACTTGGCTTGTCTTATGAGTTCGTTTGGAATCATTTGCCTTTCATAACGACCCAAGCATCTGCAGCATTTTAAGTTTGGTGTTTTATGGAGAGTTCAACTCAGCTAGGCTCAGTAACATTGCGGGATGTGTGTTTAGTAGATGATTGCAAAAGTGAATGTTTGTGTAAGCTTATTAGAAGAAACAGTTCTTTCAAATTAATTAGTTTTTTATGGAATTGATTGAGAATTTTCCATTTCAATAAGAGATGCTTATAGGAATGACTAGTTTCATCATTTTAGTACAAAACTGTTCCAGATCAGAACGAATAAGCTGGATTAGCATCGGCAACGGCCTTCATTGTGCTTATAAATCTGGTAGTGACTTTCAATCCATACACTGCTAGGAGAGAGAGTCAAAGCTGAACTAAGTCGTTATGATTCAATCAGAGTGTATCCAACTATAGGAAGACACAGGTACATAGGTTGGCATGACATTCATGCCACTTGATTACTGTTCTTCCTGCAGAGAACTTTCTGTGTCCGTTCTTGTTGCTGTGTTTTTTCTCTTTTTTCTTTTTTCCTTTCTTTTACATCTAGTATGGATCTGACCTCCTATATAAATCAGTGTTCTTTTCACTCTGATCCATTCTTTAGATGTCCTTTGAATTTCAAAATCGAGATTGTGGCTGTTTTAAGTCTTGAAACCATCCATATTCGTTGTTTAATTCAAATTTGGAGTCATCGTCGGGTTTGAGGCAAGAATTCCTACTTCCTTGGCTCTTAATAGACTCATTATCGTGTTGTCTATCATGGTTAGTCTTATCCAATGTTGGCTTCAGTTGAAACCCTAGCTCTACTAAACTTTTGTTAGCATGCTGAAGTCTAGATAGGAATACCTAGGCATGTCTGGAGGCCAAACTTTAGCACAGCCTGAGTGTGACCCAGCAGAGCTTGAACAACTGAACCGTGTCAATTCTTTTTGGCCAACTCTTTGGACATCAATTCCTACTTGTCATATTAATTGAACTAATATATTCAAATGGGCTTTGCCTCCAATGTTTACTTTTGATATTGTCACTATATTGTTTCCTTTTCTGTACTTTTTTTTTAATTTTAATTTTTAATTTTTTAATTATTATTTTTTTTTTTTAAGTGTTTCTTTAGTATCTCTATTGAAGAAACTTAAGTTGTTGATTTCAGTTTTTGTTATACCTGGAATTGTCTTCATGGTGTACAGAGGAACTTCAATTGTTGATTCAGTTGTTATTGGGGTCTTCTATCCATATCACCTTACACATCGTCTACCTTTCTCATGCTATTTGTGATGCTAGTTGCTGCAGTGGCAAATCCACTTTTGAGTCCTTCCTTTTTTCAACCATTAACAATCCAGTTTGCATTATTGCATTATTTTTATTTCTTACAATTGGCCTGTGAAGCAAAGGAACCTCCTAAGGTATGACTTGGTGCAGACTGACACTTGGAATCAATACTGGCGATGTTCTTCAGAAGATGTGGCTCTTTGGATATTCCTCTTTTGAGTTTGTACATTTTGTAAAAGGAGCAAGTAAACTGCACCATTGTTAATTTCATTCTGATATGTTTGGTGGATTATGGTACTTTAAGTTAGGATGGTTTGAGGAGTGTCAGTGGCTTTGGCAACCTTTCTTCCGTGATGTAGATTTTTTGGGGCGGATGGATTTGCCTAGAGTGAGGATAGGATTCTTTTATGTGCTGATATTTGATTACTTGGTCGGAAAGGATTGCCTGAAGTTTTTAAGATAAGTTTGAGTTCATCACTTCTCTTATTAGCTTGAGTTCCAGAGTGTTTCGGAGCCTGCCCTTTATTGTTTGTGGCTTCCACCTTCTGAGCCATGAATTTTGACCTTCAAAAGCATCCTTCAGAATACGGGGTTGAGCTTAATCTTGTGGGGTTTCGTTGGAAAAGTTCAGCAGCTCAGAGTAGTTGGTGATACAAGGCATTATGTCAGAAATATTATGGGTGTGTTTGGTTTGGTTTTGAGAGATAAATTTTCAAAAAATATTTTGGAGAGAAAGTTCAGAAATTTTTTTGGTTTGTTTGGTTGTATATTTTGGAAATAGTTTTGGAGTATGGGAGTTTGGAATGATTTTATATTTTGTTGTAGTTGAGTAGATGTATGTGAGAGAAAAAGTGATTGAGAATGAGAGAGGAGAGAGAAAAAGTGATTGATTGATGCGTAGGAGAGAGGAAGTGATTTTGGAATTTTTTTTCCAAAATCACTAAACCAAACAAAATTTAAAAAAATTTCTCCAAAATTACTCTCCCCAAAACAAACCAAACAAGGCCTATATTTCTTATTCTAGGTTGGCCTCTGAAAATTCTTTGAGATAAGTATTTCTTAGCCTTCTATTGGAAGAATGCAAGGCGCTTGGTTCTGAAAGGGGGACTGGAGAGTGGTCATTGGTCTGTTGAGTAAGAAGAATTAGTGGCTGTGCTGTTATGCACTTATCTCAAGGCAAACTGTTTTTTTTGTTTTTTGTTTTTTCATGCTACTTTTACATTAGCTCAAGATTAGCTTATTTGAGGTTGACTTATGTTTAAGAGACTACCTTGTAGTACCTCAGACTACATAAGACGCTTTATCCTCCTTCAATTGCACTTGTTTCATTGTTTTTCATTGGTTTTTGTCTTGTGGTTTGTTCTATGCTTTGGAGATTGACACCTCATCCATTTATGGTTTGTGATTTTGTCCTACGTGTTTTTTTTTTCTTTAATAAATAATGAAAAAATAATAATTTTGACTTAAGTTGAACACTTTTTGTTTTACTGCTTCGATGCCTCAGTTTGACAAACCTATTATTTGGCATCACATTAATAAATTTTGCCATTGATAATGTTGAGCATCAAGTTTTTAACAACGAACGATATTTTTAAGTTTAATTAGTGACAAATGAATATTATTTCTAGGACTCGACTGCATAAATCATGCCTCACAGTTGTATTTATTTTTCTAAATGTTAGGATTATAAAGTCCACACAGATGAGATGCATACGAAGCAGGTTCAAATAATGAGAGAAAGGCTGTTGATTCATCTTCGTGGTTTACCACAAATTGTTGAGGGCTGGAACAGGCTAGAAGATTCTGATTCACAGCCTAGTCAGTTTGCGCGGTCCCTCACAAAGGTAACAAAAATCAAATTTGCATTCAGTAATGCACCATTTTAGTTATTATTGAATTATTGACCACTAACTCATCTAAAAGAATAAGCTATTAGAGGGAGGGGCAACTTCATTATTTATATTATATTCTCAGCAAACCACCTCACATGTGGCCGGGCTCTCCTCCATAAATGGGCCAAACACGTGCAAGTATTTTTAATTACCGGGTAAGCAGTGAGGTTCGAACAGGATCTAATTGCTTGCTCTGATACCATATTTAATTGTTGAACACCAACACATCTAAAAGCTTAAGTTATTAGAGAGATGGGAAACTTTATTATTTATATTATATTCTCTAACACCTGTTTTTGTTAAAATATGTAGAATTGGAGATTGTTTTGTGTGAATTTGTTTAAGAAAGGAATTAATGTCAATAAGTGAAAAAATCTGGTTTCTTGGTTGAGAGAGGAAAAAGGGGGTGAAAAAATAAAATACATTAAAATAAAGGAAAATGTGAGGTGGAATTTCCAGCAGCTCAGCATGTAAACTTTATGTGATGATTACTGTGTACTAGAATCTTTGGATCTTGAAGCCTTAGACACCATCATCCCATATGACCGGCAACTAATGATTGTGGACCTTAAGAGAAACAAGATAAAAGGTGCTGTAGGTGTGGAATTCAGTGTTTTAAAAAGCACGCTTAGGCGCTTGCCTAAGCGCGAGGCTCCACGAGGAAGAGAGAACGACATGGTCTAGTTGTAGCGCCCTCAAAATAATACATAAAACCCCACATTCTTGACATGCATTGATATAAGAGAAATAAACACTTTTTCATTCATTAGAGTAGTCCTTACAAATGTATTACATGTTGACAACAAAAGTAAATGCCCAACGGCTTACAACTTTCCAAGCCAACACTTGGTTACACAAAAGAGAGTACTAACTCATATCATATTAAGCCTTTGGTCTGAATTTACATGTAATACAACAAAAGATAACAAAACAATAAAAGAGTCTTCAACAAAAGATAACAAAACAACAAAAGAGTCTTCGACTCCCAAAACCTTCCAAGCTATGTCCTTGGAGGTGGCATGTGGCATGTCACCTGGACCTGAAAATGATGTCCCATATAGGGTGAGTCACAGCCCAGTAGAGATATACTAAACCAAATATAAACAATGACTAAAATAATAGCATTAGATAGATGGTTAACACTTATAAACCAATTATATCACAATACAGTTCCATGACACTTGTGTCCATGTTAAATTCCATTTTCCTTTACTTATCCAATTCATTTCATATACATGGCTCAGAACCTGGCCAAACAATTCAATGAGACTATAACTCATATACTAACACTTCTATATTTCACAATAGATACACATATTTGCTGTATCAATACTTCAATTTAATACACATATTTGCTGTATTAATGGAGTCCATCCCCTATCTCCTCCCAAACAGGTTTGAGAGTCCATCCCATATCTTCCCTCAAACCATGGAGTACATCCCCTATCTCCTCCCACACAATACACTATTCCAAGTATATAAACAATTATCATATACAGGGATCACTCAATACACAAATTTAATGTATTATTCCAACCGTCATATTTAATGACACATTCAATGTGATTAGTTTCAGTTTTCCCTAATCAACATACAGTGTCTACAACAATCAAGACTATCCTCCACCGATAGCCCAAAACAGTTATTTCTAAACTGAAAAATAAATGCATTAAATAGATATAATATCAACTTACTCCATAGGTGAGTGATTAATTTATTCAATTACACCCTTCAATCCCATAATTTCCCAATTTCATTATTCTCAACTCAATTCCATATTTTCACATTTTTCCAAAATTAATTATACAAATTAATGTAGTTCATAATTAGGGCATTCTTCCCCCTTTATCACATTTCAACTCAAAGGCTCGAATTCAACAATACAACAACATTAATTCCATTTTTGTTGGTCTCAAACACCCATAGGATTTAACCTTTTGAAAACCCCTTTTTATAAATTACAAATCAAATCCTAACTTTTTCAAAAATTACCCAACAACCCCAACATATCAAAATGCCCAAAATTTATGACAAAACTCATAGGATGGAGTAGGGTATCCCTACCTCGAAATAAAGAGCTCAAATGAAGAAGATGACCAAAACCTGAAGTGCTCCAAATCCGAGATTTTTCAGATTAAAATGTAGCCCACACAACCCTCTATCTTTCTTACAAAGAATTTAGGGTAGAAACACTCAAGAACTAGATCAATCCCTAGAGAGAAGGTAAGTGTAGAGAGAGGAGGCGCCGGATCTAGGGTTTAGACAAGAGGAGATGAAAAAGTGAAGTGTAATCCCGTTGCTGCCTACTGATATAACATAGGCTCGCTCGAGCGAAGGATTGGTCGCTCGAGCGACCAGACACAGAACTCTCGCTTGAGCGTAGGAAGCCTCGCTCGAGCCAAGAATGCGAAGCTTCAGGTCTGCAACCCAGAAGCACGCTCGAGCGACAGAATGCTCGCTTGAGTGAAGAAACTCAAAACATACACCTCGCTTGCTCGAGCGAAGGAAAGCTCGCTCGAGCGAAGAATTGCAACCTTCAGGTCCAGAACCAGACGCAGACGCAAGCTCGAGCGAAGGACTTCTCGCTCGAGCCACCAGATACAAAAACTCTCGCTCAAGCTAAGGAACCCTGGCTCGAGCGAATGATCTAAAACACAGAGCTCGCTCGAGCGAAGGACCAAAAATCTGGGTAGCAACCATTTGCTCCCAATCACACCCAACCTGTAACAAACCTGCCCAACACATCCCATAACTCAAAAATAAGGAATTAAAGGATGACATCAAGATATATACAACAACAAGCTCCACGGAACCTAAGTCCGGATACAACAACCAAATGGGGAAAAACCGGGATCGCTATAGTCTTCTTTATCCATGATTGACGTCGTCTTCTTCAAGTCCTTATGTTCTGTTCTGTTCTGTTGTCTTCTTCTTCACTGGATTTCTTCTTTTTGTCTGCCCGCCTTTTGTTTTTGGTCTTGCCACTGTTCTTCTTCTTCTTCTTCTTCATTTTTTCTTCTCTACTCCAAGTTCCAATCATTTTTCCCCCTTTCTGTCATTGGGTTCTCTCTATCAGCCACCACATTTTCATCTTCTTCTTCATTATGCAACCAATGATTGAATGTTTACTGTTTTGGTTTTTTAAATGGTGAAACTTGCTTTATGATTTTTGGAATGCTATGTATATTTGTTTATGTTGAAAACTTCGCCTATAATAGAATTTTTCTTATCTTTTACAACTTGCGCCTCGCTTAGGCTATAGGAGACTTTATCACCTCAGTGTGCCCAGAGCCTTTTAAAACACTAGTGGAATTGAACTAGTTCTGTTGAGGATGAAAGCTCTATATGACATCATGCTATCAAAGACCAATTCATGGGGAGTTAAGGTTCTTTTAAAATAAGAATGTATCTAATTTCCACTCAAGGAAACTGGGTGCCCTATCATTTCATTGCTTGAGATTATTACTAATCCGTTCTCATATATGTGTCTCTTAGGGCTATTTTTTAAAGCTTCCATAATTGGAATTTCACCGACACTGGAGTGAGAAAAATAGGGTAAAACAATGAAATAGATGGAACTTCCCTTGGGTCTTGTATTGCTTCTGTTAACTTCCTACATTTTCATTCGAGTGAGAAGGTTTCCAAAAAGACAAATTTTCCTTAAGACATTGAGTTTATGTTGGGTAATTTTGTTGGAATTATATCTATGAAGCACAGACATCTCTTCTGAGGTCACATACCAGTGTCCAACATGTGTCAAACAGACACATTCCGGACACGTGTCAGACATGGAGGAGGAATCAGATGTGATGTCTTCCTTTCTTCTTCTTTTTTTCTTTCTTTTTTTTTTGTCTTCCTTTCTTCTTCTTTTTTTCTTTTCTTTTTTTTTTTTTTTTTTAATTTCACCAGAGTAGCATACCCAAGGTTGATGAACTTGATGAGAATAAATATTTGGCATAGAATAAATATATAAGATTAAAAATATGACATAATAAACGTACAAAATTATATGTTTGGCATAAGTCCCCCTACATGTTGGGTCCTGCTTTTTTTTAATATTTTGTGTCCCCTTGTCAGTTTAGTGTCATGTGTCCATGTTCGTGTCCGTGCTTAGATAAATTTGCATTTGATTATTGGATTTGATTTGATTTGATTTGATTTTTTTGCAGGAAGTTGGCTTTTTTCAGCGTGTCTTATCTCGAACTCTACATGAAGTAGATGTGCAAGCAATTTTCAGGTGAGGCTTAACATTATCATTTCAATGTCCAATGACTCAGAGATTCAGTAAGTTGTTTATTTATTTGTTTGTTTTAATATGGAAAGCTTTTTATTTAGGTTATTGCGCCAAATTGAATTTACTAATGGAAGAAGGCTATGCACCATATCTATTGACTTAAAAAAGATCAATGAAATGTCTTAGTAACCAGGTCTCTTAATATTAAATAGAAGAAAGCAAATAGGAGATTGGGAGGCTCCCCATCTCAGCTGTAATATATTCTTGCTGTGGATCCTTTTATTAGTCTCTTCTTTGATTGTTACATGCCACATACTTACAGTAAGGAACATATGAGTGCAAATGAACCAAGATGAACTGAGTTCTTGACTGTTGGGGCTCTGTCCTTTAGTTTGGTTCTATTTTTCTACATGCAGGGGTGGGGGGTTAGGGGTGGAGTTGGTAGTTTCTGAGGGCTGCAGGTGGTTGCTGCTGTGTCACCTTTATGGTGTTCTTCTCAGGAGTAGAGATGGATAAGGTAGCAGCGGATTGATGGAAATGAACTTATGGTGATATTGGCAATGCAATATGTTCGTGCTAATGGTGCTTGTATGCCTTTCAGAATTTATCTAGTATCTCACAACAAAGGAATTTGGCAACTATAGTTCCTCCGTTCAATTTCAGAGCAAGGAGTTGTTGACATTTCCCCTCGTTCAATTCTTGTATGGGATTTTCAAGCCTTTTTCTCTCCCTTGTTTTTCTGGTGTGCTAGAATGGGAAAAAAAAAAAAAAAAAAAAACTGAATGTAGACTATGAAGTACAGATATGGATATAGGATATGTATATGGCTAGGATACATTCATAAAGTATGGGGGTGTTTAATAACCTAATTCAACACTTAAAACTGAATGTATTAAGTGATGATCAATTAATCCCGTTTGATAACTATAATTGATATCACTTAAAAATTTAAGTGCCTCTTAAAATGTAGGCTAAAATTGAAGTAAATTTTAAGTCATATCAAACTTACTTAATTTTGATTAAATTTATAAATACTAAACATAAGTATCTGTATACACTATTATAAACTCACTATCACCACCATGCCATCGCTGCCACCACCACCACCGCTACCGCCGCCACCGCCACCGCCACCCCATCATCAAGCCACCGCCATCATCATGCCACCGCCACCGCCACCACCCCCACTAGCTTCATTATCATTGTCATTGTTGCTATAAGCACCACCATCACCACCACCACCACCACCATGCCAACACCATCACTATCACTCCCGCCGCCGCCGCCACCACCACCACCACCATTATCATGCCACCATCACAACCTTCATCACCATTGTAATTGTTGTCATAAGCACCACCAATTTTACTACCACTACCATTGCTACCACCACTATCATCACAATATAAAAATTAAAATATACAATTTAAAAATAATATATTTCAAATTTAATCTTATAAATATAAGTTATTTTTAGTTCAGCACTTAAATTTTTATCAAACAACTTCTTAGCTTAAAAAATTCAGCATTCAATTTTTAGTCTTCAGTTTTTAGTTTTCAACTTTATCAAACAACAGCTATATGTATATATTTTTATAATTTTTAGTGGTGTATTATACATCAACTCAAAGAATAGGGAGAAACCATTCTTTAGCAATTCGGTATTAGTTTTGGAGTCAATAGTCAGTTTACTTTTAAATTTTCAATAGATCCTATTAAAATTTCATTTCAAATGTCAAGTCGAATAGTTTATGTAGCCCATATGCTTTTTCCTTTCACACTTGCTGTTCTATGCAAAAGTGTTGTATGCAATTTTACTTGCTTATTTAATTGTTGAAATCTGATTTTAATATCGTTATATTTTCTTATTTTTCCTTACTATAAAGTATGGATACGAATGTAAGACACATGTATATCTCAATAAGGATCTGCCAAATTCAATAAATTTTGAAAAAAGTTGGGTGCTACTTTAATTTCACTATTTTCTTTTTTCTCTAAGAAGTAAACAAACTATTGAAAAACTATTCTTTTATTTATCCTAACAAGTATACTCTAATGCTATGTGAGAATTATTACAATATCAATTTCTTACTAGTTCAAATACATGACCTATAGTATCCAAATACTTCTCAAAATTAAAGAAATTGATACGTATCCGCAAGTATCCATAGAATATGGGTATTCGTATATCCGATATGAATATGATACAGATACGAGCCCCTTTTAGAAGTATTAGTGCTTCATAGGACTCTTCTAGTATGACATGACAGTGTTCAGTGCTGTGGGTATGAGATATTTCATCATACATAATTACTTGTATCCATGTATACCTATACACACTGACCCTTTGTGATGGTGGAAGAAGAAAGCCTTGTATTTGACGGTAAAAAATGTTTCCTGCTTTTGACGAGGAGAGACAAATGGAAATCCCTTTATAATACCACATTCCATTTAATTTGAATTCTATTCAAGCATATCCTTGTGAAATATTAACATTCTGTTCATAGTCCAGCTTGAAATGTATCCAAGAGTTTGCTGTGAGTAGATGGACAGGTCTTGTGGATTCATGCTCGATTTCCAAACTTGTCTACGGAAGACTTGCGGTTTGGGGAGGTCCAACACCTGAACAGGAATTTGCACCAAATACACACTTGAGCTTATGTAACATAGCAAAAGATTGGTGTTCAAGGGACTCATAGATGTATTCTTACAAGATGTTCCCATTTGAACATGCAGTTAAAGAATATGCAAAGTTAGTCCGTCTGAAGTAGTATCAGACCATGCCATTTTCCTTGGTTGTGTTCTGCCAATAACTTACAGTTTGTAAAGGACATATCCTGTTTTATTTTGTCGCACTCAATTTATTTCCATCCACCTTAGACCTCGGTTCTTTAATTAGTTATTTTGTGTTTGTGTTTTCTTGTTAAAATATGAAAGAGATGACTTGCTTGAAATTTCTCGCTATTTTCTCTACATAATGACCTCCATGTTGTGCTACTTGCAGGCAAGTTGTTATAATCTTCCACTCACAAATTTCGGAAGCATTTTCCAACTTAGATATTAGCACTCCACAATCAAAAACCAGGTATTGCATTTTTATTTTCTATAACCTTTTCGAAACCCTGCTGTTTGTTTTTTTTTTTTTTTGTAGGACAGTTCTTTCATCTCTTTATAGCATCTTTTGTTCTGCTTGCTAGGCTGCATCGGGACGTTCAGCATATTCTTGGATGCATCCGGTCATTGCCTTCTGATAATATAAGTAAAACTGATATCCCGAACTGGGGGCAACTTGATGAATTCTTGGCACAAAGATTTCCTCCTGAAGCTGATTAATAGTTATTTATCTGAAGTAGCAAATTGGTTATATTATTTCTCTAATGAAAGGCTAACCAGATTTGATGAGCATATTAAGGGGATGATAGAAGCAACCTTCAAAATGTGCTTGTACATTGTGTGATTGATTTCAGGTAAACAAGATAAGACAGTTTATTAAACAAAAATAATTTTCTTTTACTTGTGCTTAGTGGCTTTTGTTTTGTTATTCATATGTACTTCAAAATTTCAACTTTGTCCAGGTATTTGCATTATTGCTCATGGGGTGAAGTTCTGTATCACATTCAATGTTGTGGGGGAGAAGGGCCCTTTACACAATTTTTGTAGCAGCCATACTGAATATACAATATGTAATGAATAGGGCCCTTTACAATTTGTTATTATGATTGTAATTTATTGGTTTAGATGAAACCGCCGCTCTTCTTTTCTTTTCTTTTTCTTTTTTGCCTTCTATATTTTGCTTTCCAGGAGGCTTAAATCATTTTTCAAATAGAATTGTATCAGTGCTTGCTTGCTGCATAAATGTTTTTCGAAGTTAAACTGCGGGTACTACAACTTTGAACATCGGATCCAACTACTTATCCATCTTCCATGAATTTTGACTTGTATGCATGAGTATCTCATTTGGACATTTTCTATATGAATTCTGAACCTTGTGGCATTTTTGCCTGGCTTGTTCTTCAAGCTAGCTTACATGCAAATCTTCTCTTCAAGCTAGCATACAAAATTGACCAAAGTGAATTTTTAGGTTGGAAATCTTCTCTTAAAGCTTTTTTTTGATTGGCTTCCCTATAGGAGGGGGTGCTAACCAAATGTTGCTTTCTCTGTGTTGCACTCTTTTCTCCGCCCTCTCTTTTGGAGTATTTATAAGGGAAATTTGGTCATAAATCTCTCTTAGCTTCCTTTTCTTGTTAAAGGACAAAAATTTGGTACTTTTAAAACTCTTATAATTATAAAATTCTGTATAAAGGGCAAAATTTGTTATTTGAATATTTTATTTAATTACTATACCCTCTCTTTCTTCCATTTCTTGTACAACTCTCTCTCTCTCTTCACTAACTTGATGGTTGTTCGTCATCTCCAGAATCAATTTTCAATTAAATTTCACCGTAGGCTCTAAAAATTATGCCAATCACAATGGCGTAATCAATTTCGGGTTCTATGGCCGATAAGGCCCTTAATTTAATTCCAAAGCGGATTATTCAAACAGATATTCCTACGGTGAACAGGTAGAATTCCAAAGTCGCTTATATTCACATAATTGCACACAAAAATCATATCAAAACATATAGTCACATACGTATTAGGGACCAATTAGCATACTACGGAACAGGGGTATTACAATTTATAAGGGAAATTTGGTCATAAATCTCTCTTAGCTTCCTTTTCTTGTCAAAAGGACAAAAAAAAATTTGGTACTTTTAAAACTCTTATAATTATAAAATTCTGTATAAAGGGCAAAATTTGTTATTTGAATATTTTATTTAATTACTATACCCTCTCTTTTTTCCATTTCTTGTACAACTCTCTCTCTCTCTCTTCACTAACTTGATGGTTGTTCGTCATCTCCATCATCTTCATCGTTTATCAACGTTGCTTATTCTCACCGTCGACTAGCAACCACCATTTTCATTAAACTACCACCATCTCAGATTTGATACCTACGAACTCATATTTGAAATCATTAACTTCATATCAGAGATAAATATAAAAAATAAAATAAAAAAGAGAACACACACAGTTAGATTTGACATAAAAATAAGAAATTGAGATATTGCAATGAAAAATTATGAGTTTTTTGTTTGTTTCTTCATAGATTTAAAAGTAAAATTTGATTCTAGTTCGTTCATTTAATATATACTCTGTTTTCATAACAGTAAAATTTTACTCTGGTTAACAAGATATTGATGTGCTTAATGACAATAAAATTTTACTTTCTTTTTTTAGTTACAAAGTAAAATTTTACTCTAAATCAGAGTAAAGTTTATTATAATTCAAAATAAAATTTTACTCTGAAATAAGTTGTGGTGATGGCTTTAGAGAGGAGTTTTGTGTTATGAACCAGAGTAAAATTTTATTGTTGAAAAAATAAAGCATCATGAGAAGAAGAAAGAGAGATAGAGAGACGGTGTTCGAAAGCAGAGGATCAAGAGAAGAAGAAGAAGAAAAAGAAGAAGAAGAAGAGAGAGAGAGAGAGAGAGAGAGAGAGAGTGTGTGTGTGTGTGTGTGAAGGATCTCATATTTGAGGTTTGCAAACCTTTGCAAATTGTCATTTTCTAGTGACGACAATTGTAAATGATCTTAGATTTGAAATTGTAGATGCAACAAATGATGGTAGTGATGAAGATAGTAGAAAAAGAGTTCCATGGTGAGCGGTGGTGCCGATGGAGAGTAGGGATGGCACTGATGAAGAGAATAGTGATAGGTGCGAGACAGAGAGAAGAGAGATTGAGATGAGAGAAAGTGATTACAAGGTACACATACATATATAAGTTTTAAAATACGAGGATATTTTGAAAGGATCTATATAATTCTTGTCCTTTTGAAGGACAAGTTAAACACTGAGGGGTCTATCACCAAATCCCCCTTATGTATAAAATAGTTGACTATCAACTCATTTACAACCTTGAGTTTGAGAGAAATAGGTAATTTTTTTATTTATATTCTCAATATGGCCTCTTCACTAGTTACTAAACTCTTCTTTATAAGCAGGTAGTAGGTGATGAAATTCTACGAATGACCTATTACTTGCTTACAATATATTAATTTATTGACTAATAACTTATTTGAAAGCTTAATTTGTTAAAAAGTGTGCCATTTTTATTACGGCTACTTCTACAGCATAATTTATTCTTTCAATACCCAAAACTAGAACATGTAGAACTCAGATAAATATCTATGGTTAGCCAGCCTGTTGAACTGTGTCAGCATGACATGCATGCTAAACCTGTTGAGAGAGCATATCAGGTTTGAAGTTCGTTTAGATTTGAGATGTAGTTGAGAGTGGTTCTCCTCCAATGTTTGCACATGTTTTTTATGCATTGATGCCCCATAATACATTCTGTTTGGTTTTTCTGACAGACTTTCTAAGTAGAAAACTCGGAAAATGGAGGCTTTTCTCAAATTAAGCCAAATTAACAACTTAATTTTTAAATTAGGCTTAGTTTGGACGGAATTTTCAAACTAGGCAAAAACGTGGTTATGAACCACGCTTTCAACGTTTTTGTGCCTATCACACGGAAATTTTGTGAAATTGTAAAAGCGTGTTTCCAAACCACGCTTTTAACTAAGAAAGCGTGGTTTTAATTATTATTATTATTATACCGAGTCCGAAATACAACAGAACAGTAAAGGGACAACCGGGATCGCTATAACCTCTCTCTCTGACACACACACCCACAACACTCACACTCACATCAAACATATATAATTTATAATATATATAAATTTTATTTTATAAAATTGAGACTAATATTAAATATATATAATAATAATTTATAATAGCAAATAATAATTAATTGTATAATTTTTATAATTTTTGTAAATATAAATCATTTTTATATAATTTTAGAAATAATTTTTTACAAATTAAATTGAAACAACCATACATACGTATGTATATAACTTGTCCAAAAGTTAAAATGATAATTATTCTTTACCCTTAAATGATAATTATTTTTTATTTTTTATTTCTTAACCAAATTAATTTTTAATTTTTTAAAAAAAATTCTAAAAACCAAACCATACATAGTCTAAAAATCTTTTGATAAGTCATTTTTTACGTTGATAACTTATTTAATTATTTGTTAATTTTACGACATTTTTACCATCTGAAACATGTTTGGTAACTATTTCGTTTTTAGTTTTCAATTTATATTTACAAAAAATTAAAAAACTATCATAAAAACTTGTTTGATAATTTTTTTAGTTTATAAATAGTTGTCTCAATTTGTAATTTTGAGAAAAAATGTAAATTCAAAAAATGAGTTTACAATGGTTTTTAAACAAAAATTTAAAAATTTTGCAAACAATTTTTTTTTTTCAATTAATTTTTTTTCAAATAAATTCAAAAAATAAGTTTACGTTTTTTCAAAAAAACTCATTTTTTGAATTTACGTTTTTTTCTCAAATTTACAAATTGAGACAACCATTTATAAACTAAAAAAATTATCAAACAAGTTTTTATGATAGTTTTTAAAATTTTTGTAAATATAAATTGAAAACTGAAAACAAAATGGTTACCAAACATGTCTCAGATGGTAAAAATATCGTAAAATTAACAAATAATTAAATAAGTTACCAACATAAAAAATGACTTATCAAAAAAAATTTAGGCTATGTATGGTTTGATTTTAAAATTTTTTTTTAAAAAATAAAAAATTAATTTGGTTAAGAAATAAAAAATAAAAAAAAATTATCATTTAAGGGTAAAAAATAATTATCATTTTAACTTTTGGACAGGTTATATACATTCGTATGTATGGTTGTTTCAATTTGATTTGTAAAAAATTATTTCTAAAATTATATAAAAATGATTTATATTTACAAAAATTATAAAAATTATACAATTAATTATTATTTGCTATTATAATAAAAATTATAAAAATGATTTGCTATTATTTGCTATTATAAAATAAAATTTATATATATTATAAATTATATATTAAAATAATATTAGTCTCAATTTTATTAAAAATTAAATATGTGTGTCAGAGCGAGAGAGAGAGAGAGAGAGAGAGTGTGTGTGAGAATAGAGCCTCTGAGTGTGGTTTTGTGTTGAAAACGTGTTTCCAAAACACGTTTTTACATTTTGGTTAAAAGCGTGATTCACAATCACGTTTTCAAAAAAAAAAAAAATCAGTTAAAAGCGTGGTTCAGCACCACGCTTTCAGGAAAAAAAAAAATTAATTAAAAGTGTGGTGTGTAACCACGCTTTCTTAATTAAAAGCGTGGTTTGGAAACACGCTTTTACGATTTCACAAAATTTCCGCGTGATAGGCACAAAAACGTTGAAAGCGTGGTTCACAACCACGTTTTAGCGTAGTTTGAAAATTTCGTCCAAACTAAGCCTAATTTAAAAATTAAGTTGCTAATTTAACTTAATTTGGGAAAAGCCCTAGAAAATGGGAGTAGACAAGCATAGAGAGACCATCCAAGAAAAAATTCATGGCCGGTTTAAAAATTCATAAAGCTAACAAAGACCCTTGTCTCTGTCCTAATCTTTTAAAAATGTACATTATAGTTAAGACTTTATGTTGCATCTACATTTTCTTTGGAAAAATTGCCCAATCCAATTGAAGATCTCATAAATTTAAAAAATAAAAATAAAATACATTTGTCAAATCATTTCTACGAATACAAGGATTGTAGGGTCGTTGACAATATAATATAAATGATAAAAACTGTTAATTTCTCTAACAATTTAGACTTTAAATGAATTTGTGGTTAACAATTCAGTGTAGCTAGTATCTTTAAAAGAGATGTATTTGAATTTGTAGATGAATGAAGAGAGTAAGCAATGGGAGAAAGGGTGCCAATAGTTGGTGGAGAGAAGGGATGGTGGTTAGGTGGCGGTGGTTGGCGGAGGAGAAGGGTG